AGCCAACGTTATGATGGAGAAAGGATCGAAGCTGTCAATTATTTTGTCTTGCATCAATCAACAATAAACAACCTTGGTACCAGTGGTTAAGAATTCAGGAGACAAGTCATCAGACAAATCAGCTGTCTCCAGAATGCTGAAGAACAATGAAGTCAGTTTGAAGCTTAAGGTGTGCTGAATTTAGGCCATGGCTTTCTCAATCGCCTGCTATGCATTAGAGAGCTGGGCAATGAATAAGGATAAAAGAATAAAAACTGATGCCTTTGAGTTGTGGTGCAGGAGAAGGATTCTGAATACCCCACGTACTGTCAAAAGAACAAACAGATACAACCTGGAAAGGGTGCAGCCTGAGTGCTTGTGGGAGGCAAGGATGACGAAGCTTCATCTTTCATACTTTGGACCTGTAGCTAGGTGAGGTTATTCCTTGGAAAGGAACATCATGGCTTGAAAGATGACGAGTCACCAGAGGAGAAGAAGATCCCCAGTGAGGTGGAGTGACCTGGTGACTTCAGAAATGGGCTCTAGTTTGTTCGCAATGATGAGGACAGCACAGCATAGGGCAGGCTTCTGGCTGTTCACAGGGTTGCTATGAGTCATACTCGACTTGACGGCACATAACAACAATAACAGCAACAGCAGCTGGACAGTTCTGTTGGTCTAGCTGACTCATTCATGCATCTGCGGTCAGTGGCCTCATTCACATGTCTGGCTATTTGCTGTCTGTTGAATGTGGGCCCCTCCATCATCCAGGAAGATGAAGGGCTTATTATTTCAGGTTTCTTGAACAGTAAGCGAGGGCCGCTGGTGGTGTAGTTGATGGACAGTTGGTTTGGATCTACCAGCTGCTCTGTGGGAGAGACAAGCAATCTCCCCAGTGTGCAAACCAGTTGGAGGTCTAGTTATGAGTCAGTTCCCACTCAGCGACAATGAGTCCAAGATCAGCCTCAGTGTCACGAGTGCTGCTCCAGCCTGTGCCTGCAGCATATCTGCAAATACGGTGTTGACAGGATAAGCCCAGAATCAAAGCTAGAGGGAGGGAGGTATCCTGGGTGGGGGTGGAATTATGGCTATTTGACAATACAGCAAAACCACACCAATGACATAACGCTGATCATAATCCCACCCAAGCCCACCGCCATCCGTGTGCTCATCTCATAGGAACCCTCAATTGGGATTCCAAGGCGGTAAGTCTGTGCAGGAGGATTCTGTCCATCTTTTTCCTGTGGAACAGCTGATGACCTTTTGGTTTGTAGCACAACGTGTAACTCTCTACTCCAACTAACTCTCAGATGTGATACTTTGTTCTTAGCAAGATGTCAGAGAAGGCCGGGTGGCACCAGAATGCCCAGGTTGGGTCTCTGTTTATCTCACTTTCAGACTTTCATTTCTTTAAATGATAAATAGACGTAACATCCATTCCAAAGGATTGTTGCCAGGTTTAGTGTTTTATTGTGTGGCATCAGGATTGGTGGAAGATCTATCAACAATCTCCGTTATGCAGATGACACAACCTTGCTTGCTGAAACTGAGGAGGACCTCATGCACTTGCTGCGAAGGGTCAAGGACTGCAGCCTTCAGTATGGACTAAGGCTCAACGTCAAGAAGACAAAGATTCTCGCCACTGGACCAATTGGCAGCGTCAAGATGGATGATGAAGAGATTGAGAGTGTTCACAGCTTCACTTTGCTCGGCTCCACAGTTAACACTCTTGGCACCAGCAGTCAGGAAATCAAAAAGTGTATCGCAATGGGAAAGTCTGCCATTAGGGACCTCTCAAAGGTACTCAGGAGCAACAGTGTCTCTCTGGAGACTAAGGTGCGCCTGATACAGGTCATTGTATTTGTAATCACTTGTTATGCATCAGAGAGTTGGACAATGACTAGGGAGGACAGAAGGAGAGTGGATGCTTTTGAGCTGTGGTGCTGGAGAAGGGTACTGAATGTACCCTGGACTGCCAGGAAAACAAACAGATCCATCTTGGAGAGGATTAAACCAAGCTGCTCCTTGGAGGCAAGGATTTTGGGGCTTCGTCTGACATACTTTGGACATGTTGCCAGGAGGGACGGGTCCTTGGAGAGGGACATCATGCTTGGGAGGGTGGAGGGACAGCGCAGGAGGGGAAGACCCTCTATGAGATGGATTGATTCGGTGACTGGGGTAATCGGGTGGGGGTGTCAGAGGCGGTGCAGTTGGCGCAGGATAGAGCAGGGTTTAGAGCTGTTGTGCATAGGGTCGCTATGAGTCGGAAACGACTCGATGGCACATAACAACAACAACATGCAAGGTTGAGTCAGAGCCAACTCATAGCCGACTCTCCCGGAGATTGCCCATCTTTCTCCTGAGGAGTTAGTTGGTGGATTTGAACAGGCTGTCTTTGGGTTGGCAGCACAACTCCTTACCATTTGGCCACTAGTGCTTCCCTACTAGGCTCAATGTTGTTGTTGTTATGTACCTTCAAGTCTGAACCGACTCATAACTGAGCCTCCAGTGGGTTTTCAGAGGCAGTTAATCACACAGGAAGATAGTGCCCATCCTTTTGTGGAACCACTGGTAGATTTGAACCAAGTGCCTTTGGGATTGCAGCACAGCTTCTTACCACTAGGCCACCAGAGCTCCCTATTAGGCTCAGTAGAAGCTAAAGATGTTAACTGTTGGTTCTGATGCTTCCTGAAAGGGAAAATGGGTTCACAGCTTCTTCCCCACCTACCTATTCATCAGCAAGTTTGCACAGTTTACAGTTAGTGGTGGACTGTGAGAGGAATCCAGGTGATGCGGGAACACCGCTGTGAATAATACCTGCTTGTGGCTGTGAGATCTGCCTGCCGCCTTTTTTATTTCCTGTTAGGAGAAAAGTCTCAGTTTGATACCAGGAGTCTTTAACATCTCTCAACGCTTGCAAAGCATCACACTCAGCGCTTTTGGCCCTATTTAGAATTCAATAGCAGTCTTATTTTTAATCCTTACTTTTTGATTTCTATTTATGACAACTGATTCTTAAAAGGGAGCTTGGCTGGGCAAAGAGTTCTTTACTGGGTAAAGAGTTGCTCTCAACCTCAAGGCAGGTAGTTTGAATCCTCCAGCCGCTGCATGGGAGGAAGATGGGCAGTCACCTCCGTGTGATTTACTGCCTCTGAAAAGCAACTATGAGTCAGTTCCTTTCAATGGCAATGAGCTGAGTTGCTGTTGGTACTTAAAAAAAAAAGGAAGGGGGAATGTCACTTTCAAAACAATGTTAAATACTTAATTGATCCACACAAGTATTAACAATCTGCATTATGCAGATGACACAACCCTGCTTGCTGAAACTGAGGAGGACCTCATGCACTTGCTGCGAAGGGTCAAGGACTGCAGC